CTCTCCAGCCAAATCTCCACAACTCATCTTTTTCTTGGAAGGAGCTTGGCGGTGTCCCAATTCCATCACAAGATTTTGACAATGGGATTCCACATAGTCCAAGGTTTCCTTCATAAGAATCATTTCCAAAGGTGTTGAACTGATTACCCTGTGGTATGTGCCCGACAAGATGATTATTTGAAAGATTCAATACAGAGAGTTGTGTCAAAGATACCAATTCATTGGGAATTTTCCCCGCCAGCTTGTTGGAAGAGAGATCCAACGATTCCAGATTCGTCAAATTCCCTAGTGATGGTGGGATATGACTAGTAAGGTTGTTATGAGAAAGATTAAGCCCTTTGAGAGAACTAAGCTTTCCAATAACATCTGGAATTTCTCCCTCAAACATGTTATTTGAGATATGAATACTACTGAATACAGTCAAGATTCCCTGCAGCTCATAGTCGAATCCCTTCCATGTTACAACCAGTGAATATTGATAAGAACTGACATTCATGTATTCAGGAGAATCCTCATCTCTATAATGGTCCATCATCGCTTTAAAATTTTCAATGTACCTAGGCAAAGGACCAACAAAATCATTGTTGGAGAGGTCCAGAACTCGTAACCTGAGAAAAGATGGACTTTCTTTGGTGCCCTGTACAGAACCGTGGAACTTGTTGGACCTTAAGACAAGTACTTGAAGGTCTGGTAGAGATCCCAACCAATGAGGGAATGTGTCCTCTATGTTGTTGTTGCCAACGTCTAGAACCTCTAACATGCTACAATTCACCAAAGACCTTGGTAATAAGCCGTCCATTTGATTGCCGTGTAAGTTGAGATTTCGTAATCCACAGCCCTCTGGAAACCCAAATGGTATATTTCCATCAAAGTAATTGGCATGCAAATTGAACACTGAGAGAGATTTAGGAAGACAATTTGGAATCTTCCCGATTAAATTGTTATGAGAAAGGTCAAGAATTTCAAGATCATCCTTTTCACATATCCATTCGGGAATATTTCCATCAAAGTAATTGGCCTGCAAATTCAACACTGAGAG